CAATGTAAATTCTGATTGCGTGATGAGAAGCGAAAAGAAGAAAAGATTAATCACAGACAATGTAAATTCTGATTGCGAAAAGAAGAAACGAGTAAATCGAGAGGTCGGAAAGAAAAAGAGTAAATCAAAAAAGGCGGAAGGAAAAGAAAAAATCAAATAGAAGAATAAAAAGCCGGCAAAAAAAGATATTATGTGTTATATTATTTATACATGGCAGTATGCGTGTACCGCTTTAAACATTTGCACATTCTATCCAAAATAGTATCACAAGGCGGCTTTCAGAGTAGACTAGCAATGAATTATCTGCTTGTATATCGTAGAAATCCTTTAGAATCATACGTTGCGTACTAGATTATAGCGATTTACAATGTGTGTCTTTATAATAAAATCGCCAAAGCATAACGGCAACAATAGCCCGATATAAAACGACAATGCAATGATTCTTTGTGAAAAATTCTCCAACTTTTAGTCACTTATTTGTCATATTTAACAATTCTTCTACGTATCATACAAAGCAGAAAGCTTATTTATATATAAATATATATACAGAACTAAAGACATCCAGAATTTCGCATCCCGTGAAACCAGTAATAAATAATAATAATAAATAAATAGTACAATCAAAAAATTTTTTTCGTTATCGCATAAGTTTAACCCCAAGTACTATCACATCAAGGTGATGTGAAATCTAATTTCACAACTCGTGAAAGTCCCTAATTAATGCTCGGAGTGCATCAATAGTCCCGATCACGCAGCCGATCATCCCAATCAACATCACAAATGCACCCCACACTAATTCCAAGTAAGATATCCTTTCAAATCCATATAACTTTATATAAAATACTACTGGAAGAATAAAAACGAGGAGACACATTGCCAATGCACCCAAGAGAGACATCAAATCTCCAAAGAAGGGCACAAAAACAGCGGTGGCAGTTACCGCGACCATAAGAAAAGTACGAAATATCGCACGTAAAAGTAATTCAACCGTCTCAGAATGATATTCTTGCGTAATTTTTAAAACCTTCTCCGTCTCGATAGCAAAAGATATTAAAAGAATTGGCGCCGTAAAAAGCACGTGAACGGTGACGAAGAGGGATGCTATGGTCAAAAGTGGGCCTAGAAATTTTTGATATTAACACTTTAATTACAGAAATTTTAGATTATAATTGCTTTCTTTTGTTGTATCAAATCCTACCTTGAGGTAAATTGTTGAAAATGGGGCTCAACGAACTATCGCCATAAACAAAATATCCCGTGAAGGAGACTAACGTATACATGATTGCACATGTGGCCATAGCTGCAGCAACAACTTTGTTCCAGTCTTTTCGTCGATCCATACTTTCTTCGATTTGAGGAAAAACGCTATTACCACCATATGAAAAAGAAATGGTAGCAAGTGCAATGGGAAATTCCGATAATGATATTAAGCTATGGGTAGGTGGGTTTTTCGATTTATAGACTTCAGGTAGATCTTCAAAGGAGAGCACCACAATAGCAATGACGCAAAAGAATGTGGCAAAAGCACCAAAAAAACTAAAAATTTCAACGCGGTTGTAGCGTAAGCAATTAATCGGGCAAAGAATCTCGAATTAACGAAGAGTTATGATCACCTTAAAAGAATCATCTCTTTCATAGTCTTCGTGAATATAAATGGTAAGGCGACAAGTGCTGAAGAAATGCAAATCCACACGCGTACCCCCAATTGGACGTTCCAGTAATGTTCGAATATTGCGTCAAGGTTTTGTCCGGCAAGTATGAGGAACAATACTGGAACTCCCAGGAGAATCGTATTGTTAAAGATACCAACCAAAAAATATTTTCCAAAATTCCCGTAGGCATGATATCCTATATCTTCGTAGGAGCGCAATCGAGTTTTACTACATGGCAAAATTTTGAATCATTAATGAGAATAAAAATTATTGTAAAAAAAAAAGAAATACACATACTTATTATAATAAAGACACTTGATTAGGATAATGCTCGTGTATAATGATATCACCATGGATAAGACGATTAGACTTAAACCTACCCAACCGCTCTGCTTAATAGCATACGGTAGACCTAATATCCCAGTTCCTGCCACTACACAACTGTGAATAAATTTTTTAAAAATTATATTTATAGAATTTTTCGAGTTTTTGAATGTTGCTTACGTAATGTTCAAATATGCAGCCCAGTTTGAACCTGAAGCGCTTTCTTCATGACGTGAAACCCGAGAAATCTCTTCCGCTCCTAATAAAGGAGCATTCGAATCTATAGAATCCGTAGAACGAGCGTAACTTATGTCGTTTTCTAGAGATTCCAAATCTAAAGCCATTTGAGCTATGGTTGCTATGGTTTATGATGTTATGTGAATAATGCTCGAACTGTACGCATCTTGGACTTCATATATATAATCTCGAAACGATCTACAATTCGTTGATAATGCGGTTACATGAGATACATGTACAAGTGTGATCTTGCATAACTTTATGGTTAAAAAAGTGGGGCTGAACTGTTTCACAGGGCTATCTGACGTGTCACAATATACCTAGTGAGAAGATTAACGAATATGATGACGTGAGTAGAAATAACGGATCCTATTTACCCGAACTATAAATAATTCATTATTTGTTTACAATATATATTAGTTACACATCCACATTACCAATATCAATAATGATTTCTTTTAGCATTTTACTGACTCAAAAGGTCCTCCATTTTAATTATCCAAAGCATTACAAAGTAAAACTTAACGTTGAAGTATTGAAATCATTTTAGTTGGCGACTTCACTTTCATGATAAAATAGTCTTTCAGTATGTCCAAAGAAACAAGTCGAAAATTGTTCGTCACGATTGTCGACGAAATACATCAGGCTTATAAGAGAATGAGAGATTTATACGAATTCGCAAAGTACAATCGACGAGTATGTGATTCTCTGATACGTAGGGTTGAATCTGTTGAGTTGGAATTGCGAGATATGTTGAAAACTCGAATAAATGAAGATAATGAATATTATGAAAATATGAAATTTCATAAAAAAAAGGAAAAGGAATTTTATATTCAAGAGAACCATTTCACGACGCGGGAATTTTATAGTAATGATAATGCTTACACAATGCAGCAACTTTTGAATAATATTCATGATATGGAAAAGTTCATTGATGAGCTGTCACATTTAAGAACTTATTTTACAGGAAAATCAATTGAGACCACTTTTTATGAGTTAACAAAAAAGTTTGATATGTATGTAAAAGCCTTGAATGTTAAGATGGATGTGGACGTTTATTCTGAAACTGTATCATTAAAGATGGATATTAGTAATTTTGAAACGGTATTTATTATGATTTCAACGTTATTTTAAGTAATATATTTTTATTTGTGATACGTTTTAACTTATTTAATTTGATAACTTACTTTACCCACACAGTATACTTCTAAAATAACATTATTGGTTAATGTCCTTCGTGAGAATGGCACGATGACTAATTTGAATTTGCAAGGGAGCAATTTAGGAGAATTGGCAGGAAAAGCACTGGCTGAGGCTCTATGCAAGAATACCACCCTGACCGAGTTATATATGAGTTGGAATAGTATAGGAGAATCGGCAGGAAAAGCACTGGCTGAGGCTCTATGCAAGAATATCACCCTGACCGTATTAAATATAAGTGATAATAATTTAGGAGAATCGGCAGGAAAAGCACTGGCTGAGTCTCTATGCAAGAATACCACCCTGACAAAATTAAATATAGCATCTAACAAAATAGGAGAATCGGCAGGAAAAGCACTGGCTGAGGCTCTATGCAAGAATACCATCCTGACCGAGTTAGATATGAGTTGGAATAGTATAGGAGAATCGGCAGGAAAAGAACTGGCTGAAGCTCTATGCAAGAATATCACCCTGACCGAGTTATATATGAGTTGGAATAGTATAGGAGAATCGGCAGGAAAAGCACTGGCTGAGGCTCTATGCA